AATCAACTCATCTAATGTTTCATTGCCACTAGTCCATCCTTCAGTTAACAACTTTGGATCACATGATTGACACCATGCCCAAGAGGTATTATATCTATTGCAAGTTGGACATTCCCCATAATTTTTTTGTCTTGTCTTTGAATATTCATCGTTTTTATCAGTAGAAGTATTGTCATGATGTTTATTTTCATCCAAAATGTTTTCCATTGTGGTTTTTATATATTTGTAAAAAAAATTTTTTTTCAGAAATATGTATCACAAAAAATATATATTAATTAATATTAAATACTGTTATATTTAGATTTATCTAAAAAATTTTACCTGAACTACAACAATTCAGCATTGACACCCTAAAGTTGTAAAACCGTAATAAATATTGCAGGCATGCAATCAGAGTTATTGGAGCCACCAAATCTGGCAAATTAAATTAAAATCACTACATACAACTATACTGCTTGATTAGTATCAGAGTTTCTATTTGAATAAGGGTTTATTCGAATTATTTGTTTTACTCGTTATGAATTTGAGTATTTGAATTACATTGAATAAAATGAATAATGAATAATTTGATAATTTGATAATTCAAAAAAGACAAATTAAACGAATAATTCAAATAAAACAAATAAACAAATAAAACAAATAATTAAATTGATAATTTAAATAAAACAAACAAGCAATAATAATTCGAATAATTCAAATAAAACAAATAATTCAAATATTTCAAACAAAATGAATAAACGAATAGTTTGAATAAAATGAATAATTCGAGTAAAACAAATAATTCGAATATTTCAAACAAAATGAATCAATGAATAGTTTGAATAAAATAAATAAACAGATAGTTCGAATAAACAACTGACAACAATTCGAACAATAAAACGAATAAATGAAATAAAATGAATAATTCAAGCAAATCAAATAGTTTGAATGACAATTCAAACAATAAACGAATGATGTCAATTCGAATAATAATAATAAACGAATGATGTCAATTTGTATAATAATAATAAACGAATGATGTCAATTCGAATGATAAACAAATGATGATAACAATCGAATGATAAATGAATGATGATAATTCGAATAATAATGATAAATGAATGATACAATTCGAATAATAAAGAATGATAACAATTCAAATAATAAACGAATGATGATAATTCGAATAATAATAATAAACGAATGATACAATTCGAATAATAATATAAACGAATGATACAATTCGAATAATAATATAAACGAATGATACAATTCAAATAATAAACAAATGATGATAATTCGAATGATAAACGAATGATGTCAATTCGAATAATAATAATAAACGAATGATGTCAATTCGAATAATAATAATAAACGAATGATGTCAATTCGAATAATAAAGAATGATAACAATTTCAAATAATAAACGAATGATAGATAACAATTCATATAATAAACAAATGATAGATAACAATTCGAATAATAAACAAATGATAGAATAATAAACGAATGATGTCAATTCAAATAATGATATTAATATTAATATTAATATTAATATTAATATGTGAAAATAAATTCGAAATTCGTGTTACATGAAGTTTTTTTAAAATATCTCAATAAACTCGAACTTTATTGTTAGGGTAAAAAATTTTACTTTTTCACTTCAAAGCTCAGATTATTTCTCAATATCGCTTTAAAAGACTTGATAGTAAATGAGAAGGTGTAGAATACTTTAAGCTTTCATATGATCATTACTTTATGGAGATGTTGGTTAATAAGTTTTAGAGAAGTTCATGAAAAACTATTTTATAGAAATTTAATAGTCGTGAAGAGTTTTATGATGGGATTCAGCAAAAACTAAAAGGTATTTTATTAGTGATTGTTTTATATTTCTGATTAAATGATTATTAATTAATTTTTTATATATAAAAAACATTTATTTTGATCAAATCCGCCTATATAATTATTGAATAATTGATAAACATTCGTTTTGCAAACTTCATAAATCTTGACCAACACTTACTTCAATCAAACCCGCCTATAATAATAAAACGTTCATTTTGGAAAACTTGATTTGCAAATAGATCTTGACTTTAACATTTACTTTAACCTATATAATTATTTGAATAATTGATAAAACGCCCATTAAATATATTTTACAAACAGCTTCATAGATCTTGACTTTAATGCTTACTTCAATACAAGCTATTCAATAATTGATGAAACAATCAATTCATAATGGGTCTGGGTCACTTTACCGACACCCATTTCACCGACAACACACGGGTTTACTTTTAATCTCCACACAACTAATAATATCACACCGCGTGTTGTCGGTAAAGTGGACGGGCTCCGTTTTAAGAGCTACCCTCAAAATTTTTTACTTCCTTACACCTTTTCCCAGTCCATTTACCTTCCACCACTCACTTATATAAAACAGAAAGTATAGTGATATCTGAGAGAGGTGTGTGAAAATTCGACACTTTTTAGATTCATGAAAAAAAAAAAGGCTTAACATCCATAATTTCTTGTACTGTCAAATTATGAATAATGCATAATGCAAATGTGTTTACACCAACTCTACATGCATGCATTATTGAACAATCTGTACAACATTCTAATGGGCTATGCAACATAGAATTTTAATGCATATGACAACTGACCATAATAATAATTGATTGGTGAATAGTAATAGTGATAATATTTTAATAAGATTTACTATATATTAAAGTGTTGACTGGTTTTGCTTTTTGAATGAGTTACAGAAAAAATTTGTTGCACAAACTTTTTGGTTCCCTAATAAATCGTCGACACTAATAGATTTGACCTAACTCTTTTTGATGTGCATATCTCCCGAAATTAAAATTTGATTGGATAATAAGGAATGACTAATTAGTATATTAGGGTTCTATATATTGAATTCGCGATCGTTTGTGTTTGTAAAAAATGCCATCAGCGCCGCTTGAGGATCGTGGCCTTGACGACGACGATAACAAAACAAAACTACGTAAGGATTACTGCAAGATTTAAGACCAATTTCTACAATTATTATTCCGAATGTTGATAGTGGTTTTCGTTCACTTACTACGCCACCATTGATCTGATTAGAAGCAGCAGAAATAAAATCAAACGTCGTTGTTCATTGAACATGTCGAAGAAACAATGATTCAAGTTTTCGATCAAAGACTTTATCGCTATTCATTTGCTGCAACAACTCTTAACGATTCACCAAAAATCTTAACAAGAACAATAGCCTATAATTCCTTTTGCTTCGCCACCGCCACTGCCACCACCACCATTTCTTTCGCCTGTCTTTTCAACATTATCCTCAACAAAACTTTCTCAAAGAAGATAAGGGTAGAACTGTTGCAAAAAACAAAATATTCAGATAACAACAACAATTCTAATTCTTTTTCTCTTTACAATAACAATAATTATCAACTTTTATCATCATCATCATCATCATCATCATCATCATCATCATCATCATCATCATCATCATCATCATCATCCTTCAATTCTAATTATAATGATGCCAATAATGTTAATATTAATAATAATGATATTATCAATAATTTACCCAATGCATCCATCAAAAAAGATTACGACATGATCATTAATAACATTAAAAAGTTATTTCACCTCGGAAAAATTCGTTACGAAGTTTGAATTCAATAATTGATTTGTTTCTTCAAATGAAATTATAATTAAAATTATTCAGTCATTTAAAATGTTAACATTGCTGTTATTACTTCTCTCATCAGAAATATAAAATGATTATTAATATCGAGTTAATCCAATTCAATTTTTATATTATTTATTTACTTTTGCTCTAATTTTTGAAAAAAAAATTTGCATGTGATAATTTATCATTGCAAATGGAGGAAATTAAATAATGAAAATGATATGGCGGTGACGGTGATTACGATCGTAATAGATTATTTATATTGTTTTTTATAATATTTGAATAATTTTTGTTTTTCAAAATATGTACAATCCCTTTCGCCTTTTCAATATTTCCGTTCGAAATGTAGGCTGTAATCATTTCTTCATAAGTGCCTGGTTCTCTTGAAATATCGCTCATACTGTTAAATAACTTTTCTGCTTTTTCCAATTGCCCTAATTTCCCATAACTTTTAATAAATAGATTGTCGATACTTGCAGATTTAATATTTGCTTCATTAGAAATCATGTTATAATATTCTTCCGCTTCCTTGATCTTCCCATTACCCAATAAAGCATCTAATAAAGCTTTGAAAATTTCTACATCAGGAGCAATGCTGTGCGTTGATTCCAGAGAATGAAACACTTCTAAAGCGCTTTTTAAATCCTTTTGACAATATCCATACGCATATATTAATGATGCATAGTGTGTAGCTTTAGGCACTATTACGTCTTTCTGTTTCATCTCTTCCAAAACATTTAATGCTGATTTCATATCATATGGTTCAATTGTAGCATGCATATCTATTAATATTTTATATGTGTGTGAATTAGGCTCTAGATTTCTTTGTTGACTTTTGTGATAAAACTCAAGCACCTTTTCTTTACTAGGAACATCCGTAATATAATATTGCATCATGGTGTTGTATTGTCCAATTCTTAATCGAATATCTGCTTTATTTTCAATCTGTCGAAACAATTCAAGTGCCTTTTCCTCATATTTTGCTTTAGTATAAGCTGAAAGCAAAGCTCCATATGTGATAACAGTGGGCTGAATTTGATTTATTTCCATGTCATCGTATATCTTTTGTGCCAAGTCAACCCAAAGTGCCTTTCCAAATTTACTTATCAGAACATTACAAAGATATATCGTCGGCCTGATTTTAAATTTTATTATTTCTGAATAAATACTTAAAACAGTTGAGATGTCATATGGATCAGCCTCTTTTTCAACCACCAGAAGATCAGCATATGCATCTGCATCAGGATGCCAACATTTTTTGATCATTTCATCATGCACCTTAAAAGCCTCGTCTGCCTTATCATTACTAGCATAAGCAATCAAAACACTATTATATATATAGTATAACGCTTTCTCTCTGACTTGTTTGTTCCACTGAGTATAAAAAGTCAAGAAAAGTTTATATATTTCTAGAGCCTCCTCTAATTTATTTTGTTTTCCCAAATTTCTAATTGCTTGACTTACTAGCTCAGGTGTAGGCAATAAATTATCATCAAGAATCTGTTTGATTCCTGTCAAGATAACACCGGGTTTAATATCGTTACCCCTACAAATACTTGCCAATTCTGATGATCGATTTATTTCTTCCGTTGTTGGATTACGCTCCATCATCAATATTTCGCCAGATTTATCTTCCTTATCTGCTTCAACAACAACATCATCATTGTCCTTTTTATTAATATCGTACATTTTTGTCATTGTCAAGCATAACTCATTCCATGTTTTAATAGCTTCTTCATCGCCAAATTCTTTCAGAGGATCAGAGTATTTTTCAATTGTATGATACGGGACCATAACTCCAGTTGCAACAAAATCATCCATCAATTCCAATAATCCATTAATGTGGTCATTAATAGATTCATTTTTATTATCATCACGTAATTTAAAGCCAAAACTATCAAATAGCCCAGAAATTTGTGTTTCGGAGAGCGATTTTAATCGAGAAAAGTGTTTTGATTGTTTTTTTAATGCATTATATTTTTTGATTAAAATCTCATTAACAATAGGTGATATATCGAAAGAACAATAATAAAACTTCAATTTGAAATCAATTGCTTCGTTTAATGAAACATCGCTGTTGTTCAATAAATAAGCAAATAATTCTTTATAATGGTAAAATCTTTCTATGCCATTTATGGATTTTTGGTAATTAAACAAAATCCTTGCCATGATATTTAATGTTTTTGATGGGCTTTCGACCTCTGAGTAATGCATTATTATATCTTTTGTAAGGTAGTCATCAAAGACCCGACCCGAATTTAATAAAGACTCTACAAGTTCATTTAATTTGTCTATTTGATATTTAATTGTTGCATAGATGTAAACATTAAGCGCTGCACTGTCTATTTTCAAATCTTCCCTTCCCATCACATTATTAAACAACTCAGTAGCTTTACTATAATAGCCAGTGGTTGTGGAATAGTGTGCCACAAGTGTAGAATAGATCTTAGCACGGATATTTAATAATAACGGTGATGATGTATGTTGCAGCTGAGCGTTGAATTTGTTGAAATATTTTTCTGCTAATTTAATTTCCCCTTTTTCACATAAACTCTTTATAATAGTATAGTACGTCGAGTCATTTGGTTTAAGATTATTCCGAGGAATAAGATTGTCCATCACATTTGCTGCACCATTGAAATCATTACAATTTACGTAAGCATATATTAGGTGATTGTAGATGGCTAATGGATTCTGAACCATATTTTTATAGTATGATGGCAATTTTTTCACATATTCTTGATAACATTCTAATGCACATTCTATGTCACCAACTCTACCATATAAACGAACCAAATATCCATATGTAAGTGGTGAAACAACTCGATTTTTTTCCATATTCTCAAAAACATTTAATGCATCCTCAATTTTACCACCATATGCGATTGAGCATAATAACCAATCATAAAGATCAGTATCATATTTAATGGCTTTAGTTCTAAATGCGTCATTAAGCATCACCAGTGCTAAATTTAGGTTGTTCTCTTCGACTCTAATATTTTCTATACATTGTGATGCATACTTGTCATCTGGTTTTAACTTTAACCTCATAGTCCAAAATATTTTCTGATAATCAAATTCACGATATCTTTTACCTAAATGTCTTATCAGTATAGAAAAGGTGTAATGACTTGGCACAATGTGACTTTCTATCATTTTATTATAATAATTCATCATTTTACTCATGCTAAGAGGTTCTTTTTTCAGATTACCAATAGCTTCAAGAAGGATATTGTATGTTGTTGCGTTTGGGATTATCCCATAACTATTTATTTTTGAATATATTTTTTCTACATTAGTTAATATCTGTGGATTTTTTTCAATTAGAATTAATATGTAATCATTAAACTCTTTTGTTGAAGAAAATGTCATGTCAAAATTTGAAAAATTTAGCTGATGTTGTTGTAATGGTTGATTTTGATCAATTGCACCACTACTGCCAATGCTATTAACACTGATATCACTACTGCTAATACTATTACTATTGGGCGTCACGCTGATAGTATTATGTTTTCTGTTTGATTTAGATGAATTAATATTATTAATATTGTGTCGTAAAAATGAAAAATTATCAAATATCATTGCACAAACCCCTTTACATCTTTTAATAGGGACGAGATGATAAGAATATTGAGTGTAATAATTATGGTTTCTATTATTTGTTGCTGATGTAGATGATCGGAAATTTTGATTAATTACATTAGAGAAATGAGAGTAAACATAATTACTATTCCTTCCATTGGTCAGGCAAGTAAAGCCTCTTCCTATTTTTTTATTGTTATTACTATTTGCTAATATTGTGTTATTAGTTACGTTACTTGAAAGAAAGTTTTTGGTATTTTTACGAACTATCAAGGTATTGAAGATAGTGTGTAATTTAATGTTTTGCATTCTAAATTTTTTTTTTTTGATTTTTATCTGAAAAATTTTTTTTTAAATCATTGACGTTTCACAGTGTCTCTTTGCCTGCGTTTTAACCCTCCTCTGTATAATAATAGGATAGATAATTGGAATAATTAATCCAAAGGTATAAACTCACACTGAACTTGTTTTTTTCTTTTACTTTGCCCTTTATTTGGTTGTTTTTTCATTCAATTAGCATAATTTGTTTCACTTTGATCCGCATCTTGACTTTTGAGCTAATTCTTGGATAGTTCTCTTGTTTAATCAATACTTTAACTTTATTTTGAAGTTCCCGGATTTTGTTTCACTTTGGGGATTATCGATTGTTTTTACTTCTTTACCTATTTTTGGTAATTCAGTTTCATTTTCTCTTAATAAATCAACATTTAAATGAAAAGACACTCTTTTTCCTCTTGCTCTAATTCGTTGATAAAATTTAAGAAAATTCCAATAAATATAAACTTTTTATTTTATTAATTAACAATATAAACAGTATACATATATTTGTAAAAAGGATAAACGATATTAATCTTGAATGAAAAACCTAAGACGAGGAATGATTAAGCGCTCATATTTTTTTATTATTAATAAACATTTTTATTTTTACTGGAATTATTACTTGTATGGTTCTGAAAAAGATATCTTATTTATTAGTAATCAGAGATTTTTTTTTTTTCGTGTCCGAGGTTCTTTGCATCTGCATATTATTCACAACACGAAAAATTTAAATTTATTTTTTGGAGATGATTTTTAAGAAACTCTACAACTTGCAATTGGATAGATTAGAAAGAAATTTGACAGAGAAGTTTATTTCTGAATTTTTCTCGTTTTTCATTTCTACATGGTACTATATAGTATTATTATCTTTTGCCATTTTCTTTATCCTTTCTTTAAGGGATAATTAACATACTTGGGCAATTTGACTTATTAATTAATTAATATATTAATATATTATAAAAACAAAAAGTTAATGTGTAACTTTTACTTACTATTTTTCCTATTTAAATTCTTTTCTATCTTGAGGAATCATTACCTCGTAACTCTGAGAATAGAATGATCTAGTTAACTAGTAGTAATAAGTTTGATATCCCTGATCTGCATAACAAATTTCTATCGTTGATTGGCGGACCATCAATCAAGAAGTTTTGATCAACGCCATTATTGAGATTGTTTTTTTTTTTTTTTTTTTGGTAAACAATTTATTTTTTAACAATGACATGTTGTTGTTTGGTATATACCTGCCCGAAGACGTGTAAATAACCGACCAGAAGTATAAGTATTTTAATTGAAATCAAAACGCGGAGCAGATCTTTTCTAGGTAATTATAAGATCCTCATCAAGATGGTGAATAATTGGTATTTGCTTTTCGTAATCAGTAATAATATTAATATTATTATAAATATATATTTACATGTCAAGGCAGCACACCGTTGAAAAAGAAACATTTCGAGTATACAAGGACAAGGTTTGATTAACACATATGTCAGGGGTGATATGTCAGGATTAAGATACAAGGATAAGGTTTGATACCAGATATGTCGGGGTAAGATATGTGAGGGTTAAGGTATGAGCTTAGGGTCATACCTTAACCTTGACACATCTTACTCCCGATGTATCTTACCCCAGGCGTTAAAGCACGCACACTGTCTTGGACACTACAGTCATTCTCACGTTCCTCATTTATACAAGGTTAATCTCTGAAAAGGGGTATAACGATGAAACAGAGTTCCGTTCATCGACCAATAGTCAACGATGTTTTCACTAATTTTCCCTCAGAGAAGGCTCTTTAATTTTCATTTGACCAACGTTGATGTGCCTAAAATCCAAAACAGCAACCCGTTGCAGACACTGACTTTATTCTAGAGGGGTATAACACAAAGCAATCATC